TGCTTGCATTGTCCACATCCTGCCTGTTCATTGTATCCCTGAATCCACTACCATGCTTCTGAGGCATAAGACCCCTGCAGGATTCTAAATAAAAGCAGACATACTCAATGGATTAATAATATAAAAAACCAAGCATTCATACTGGATGGTTTTAGGCAAGTCATTATATCCTGACCTGCACACCTCTAGCATGAGCAATGCCTACCTCACATTATAATACATTTTGTACTTCAGAAGTGGAAATAGACCACCTCCAAGCATGTTGTATAGATGACCCTTTTGATCCAAACATGTTTGTGGGAATCATTTCTAGCGCCATCCAGTAAATAGAAGACAATACTCCAAAACTAAATTCAAAACTCTCTCTTTCCTCAGATGCTGATGAGTGGGATGAAGCAGAGGGTGAATGTGACCTGAAAAACCAAACATGCCGAAACAAGCCAAAATTTGCAAGGATCTACGTTGGTCAACCAGAATCAGCAAGGATATATTTCTGCATCCACCCCCACTGTTCCCTGCTGGATGAAGACTGAAGACCACATCAAGAGAAGCAGCAGGAATGAGTATGGTGGAGTGCTTAAGTTACAGGAGCCCACAAATCATCTTTGTGATGTCCCCTTAGCTACTGTTTTTCATAGCTTCTGGGGGTGGAGTTTGTGGGCTTTCTTAAGGACTGCCCATTTTCGCACACACATTAATCCAAGCACTGATCAGGCGGTGAATCTCCTTTGCCCAAACTTGGCCAACTTTTCCCTACTGACCCCAAATCAGTGGTTGTGCAGTAGACTAGAGGTTCCAAAGGGGGAAGGAACAGCTGAGTACTCAAATGCAGTGTGTTATGGCATCCCGATAGAACTCTTTCCTCCTCTGGTTTCCTGCAACTGGTATTCATAATTATTACTGCCTCTGACTGGCTAGTAGCCACTTATATCCTAATCCAAATGCCATAATTCAACTGTGAGATGTGTGATTACTCCCATTTGTCAGTCCTGAACCTTCCAACTTTCAGCTTCATTGTTCTAATACTATGAGAGAGGCAGGAAAACTACTCTTTAAGCATTTTCTCCATGCCATGCATAATTTTGACTAACTACTGCAACCACACAGGTTCTTAACTTCTGCTACACAGAGACACACAAAAGTAAAGAAAATCTCAGATCTTAATATTCCAAGTGTTCAAGAATGAATTAAATGGAACAAAAAGCAAGGTCAGGAATTCACTTGAATATTGCTCAGATTCCAGCACTCCATCCCAATTCTAGACTTTCCTGAGAAAGAATGAGTCAGGTTTTATTTGCATTGCCATTAATCCCTAGGCAAGGTACAGATGGGGAACAGGGTTGAGGACCAAACAGGATGTGTTTTTTAAATAGTGAGATTAGCAACTACAGTGCAGGAGTCAAGAATCATCTATATACCACATTTACTAAAGATTTTTTCAGAATAGGTCCACCGTGTCCTGATGTGGACACAAGTAAAAGGATTCACAGGGATTTGTGAGTCAACATCCCATCTGTTGAAGTGTGTGTAAGCACTATGATGTCATGAATTGCCCCATTGTGATCTGGCGTGCATGGGTTATTCTGCCAGCGGTTGTGATATATGTGTGTGAAGTGAGTGAGTGTGAACATGAAGGATCTTGAATTTTTTTGGCTAATACAGGCTCCACCAACCTGGTGCCCTCCCATCAGCCGCAGCCAGCAGGTTGGCAAAGCCTGGTCTAATACACAGTCTCTTGGAAGAAGGTGACAGCTTGTCCCCGTAATTGCATGGAGTTATTTGTGTGGTATAGTATTTTTAACCTCCATACCCTCCCTGTGATTAAAAACAACAATAATATGTTTGCCCTCATAAATGGTGTGCTTTTTAATTTTTATTAGCACATTGTGGCAGGGATGCCTGCAATTGATTTTTTCACCCTCCTCTTGCTAATCAGCCTGGAGAACCCTCTCAGCTGTAATTAAAGCCCATATTACAGGCCTCTTGGCGTTCACTTGTCTCTTAGCTTACTGTGCCATGAAATACCGTACATCAAATGGAGTACTACTGTACAAGATAGGCTCCCTGCCAACTCCCGGGGCTATTATACAAGCTTGCCTTTCGTGTCCACACAAGATGCTAGCATCATCTCAGGCACAACATCAAGAGAAAAACGGAAGCAATCTTTGGAGAAGGGGAGATAGAAAGAGGGGCATTGGTTGTGGGGAAGGGGGGCAGTGGGTGGCCTCCTATAGTTTGTACTTCATGAGGGTGGTTGACCCACATTTTGGGGGCCCTGAACTGTTATGCAGACCCCTTCACAACCAGCAACAAATTCTGGGTAACCACTGTTATCTTCTTCAGTGGGGTTGTTCCATAATAATAATACCCCATTCCTCTGACTGAGTTTCCCCAGCCACTCTGGGCGGCTTCCAACAAAGATTAAAAATACATTAAAACATCAGTCATAAAAAACTTCCCTAAAGAGGGCTGCCTTCAGATGTCTTCTAAACGTCAGGTAGTTTTATCTCTTTGACATCTGATGGGAGGGCGTTCCACAGAGCGGGCACCATTACTGAGAAGGCCCTCTGCCTGGTTCCCTGTAGCTTGGCTTCTCGCAGTGAGGGAACCACCAGAAGGTCCTCAGCGCTGGATCTCAGTGTCCAGGCATGACAGATCACCACCATTTAAAAAAGAAATTTAACTCCTGCATCTCAAAATTTTGATTTAAAATGTCCAAGATTATCCCACATGTCAAAGTCACTGGTGTGAATAAAAAATTCCTATGCCTTATGGTTTTCGGGTTATGAGGAGCGGAATGAGGGGAAATGAGGGAAATATTATATATATGCATAATGCACTATTTAAAGCTTTTTTAAAAAAAAGCAATGTGGACTAAAGTTACTTATGGAGCCCCTCTGGTATTAGGGGCCCTGAAGTTTAAGCAGTGAGCCTCCCTGAAACTTGCAGGTATATAAATTCAATAAGTAAATAAATAAGCTTTGGTCACCTCAGGAGAAGAGGAGACTCCCTGGAATAGACCCTGATGCTGGGAAAGATTGAGGTCACAAGGAGAAGGGGATGACAGAGGACGAGATGGTTGGACAGTGTTCTCGAAGCTACCAGCATGAGTTTGACCAAACTGCGGGAGACAGTGGAAGACAGGAGTGCCTGGCGTGCTCTGGTTCATGGGGTCACAAAGAGTCGGACACGACTAAACAACAACAAATTAGTTTCATAGTAGATCCGCCCCTGGCTTCAATAAGCTATTCTGGAGTGTTCTCATTAATTTCAGGGGCATCTTCAGAGCTAGTGCTGTGACTACAGCAAGGTTCGTGTTTGTGACTTATGTATCAAGATTCTAAGGTGGAAACATATCTCATGGAACACTTAGGGATATGGTGCTATGTGGGGCAACTGAATCACCCGCGCAGTAACTTTTATTTTAAAAGACTCTACTCACCCACTCATACATCTGATAAAGAAGTTGCTGCTGCTGTTGCTGTTATTTGTAATTGTTTGAGGTTATAATAGGTATCGAAGAGAAGCTTATGATAAAACATTGCTTTCCTGTTCACTGATGATACTAAATAGGGGGGAAATGGGGTGGGGGGGGTGGGATAAGGTAGCATGTGTCAGGTAATTTTTTGCAACCCGTTCTCACATGTCCCTCTAAGTAAAATGCACTCCACTGTTGATCACTCTAGCACTCTGCAGTCTTCAAACTAAAGGTAAAGGTAAAGGTTACCCCTGCCGTAACGGGCCAGGTCTTGACAGACTCTAGGGTTGTGCGCCCATCTCACTCAGAGGCCGGGGGCCAGCGTGTCCGGAGGACACTTCCGGGTCACGTGGCCGCGTGACACAAGCTGCTTGGCGAGCCAGAGGCCCGCACACGGAAACGCCTTTTACCTTCCCGCTAGTAAAGCGGTCCCTATTTTTACTTGCACCCGGGAGATGCTTTTCGAACTGCTAAGCGTTGGCAGGACGCTGGGACCGAGCAACGGGGAGCGAACCCACGCCGTGGGGATTCGAACCGTCGACCCTTTCGATCGGGCAAGCCCTAGGCGCTGAGGTTGTTACCACAGCCGCACCCCGTCCCAGTCTTCAAAACACTGAGTGATGCCCAAAGATGCAGGGGGGATAGTATTTCCATATTAATGTTCTCAGCTTCAAGCCAGATGACTGAATTTTTTGCTTGCTCTGTTTTTACTTTCGTTCATTGATTCTATATTGCTGGGTTGGGGAACCTGGGGATATTCATATGTTGCTGGACAAATCCCATCACCCCTATTGGGTGTGCTGATTGGGGCTAATGAAAGTTGAAGTCTAACAACATCTAGGGTCACAGGTTCCAAATTCCAGTTTTACTGTCAATTCTTCAAGGCCTCAGATGTCCCAGTGTATGGTTTTTTGCTCACAGGGGCAATGCATCATGTGCTTTGTAGTCAAGCCCTGCATATCAAAATCTACAACCACAATTCTGTATCCCCTTACCTGTGAGTAAACCCATTGTACTCAATGGGACATACTTGAGTGGAAACATGCATGGAATTAAGCTGAAAATCTATCCATGTTAACTTAAAAGTAAATCTCAATCAACATGATCCAACCAATGTCAAGCACTTCTATGTCGCTATGGAAAAACTCCTAAGCACTTTATTTTATTTATTTATTTATTTATTTTTAATTTCTATACCACTTTATATTTTTAAGAAAAATCTCAAAGCGGTTTACAGCATATTAATTCAATAAAACATAAATAAAACAACCTGAAGAAAGTCAAATATAGAGTATGTCAAAGCAACATAACAGAAAACTAAAATATTACGTATCTTAAAGCTTTCAAAATAAAACTTGATTCTGTCTCCCATGAAAATCTATGGGACTTTGAGAGCAAAATCAGATTGCAATGAAATCTCATCCCAGCTAACTTTACAATGATATATACTCTCAATGATTTTTTTCTGAAAACTATGTTGGCTCAGGTAGCCTAACAGCATAGTACAAACATTGGAATTGACCTGAGTTAGCTGTGCTGATGCCAACCAACAGAGCAGCAGCATCTACAACAGAATTAAATTAAATTTACTGGATAATACATGACTTTCCTGGCACCTCAGCTCAAACTAGTTCAGATTAAGTATTTAGATTTGAAAACAATTTAGTGCCATTTGGGGACTAAAACTTCTTTCAAGAATTTGGCCTACATGCGCTGTGAATCAGAATGCTTTCACTTTGAATCCAACTTTAAATCCAACCCAATCCTTGGAAATACTACCTGCTGTATTTAATAGGCCTTACTACCCAGTGTCCTTAGAGGGATGCGGGTGGTGCTGTGGGTTAAACCACAGGGCCTAGGACTTGCTGATCAGAAGGTTGGTGGTTTGAATCCCTGCAACGGGGTGAGCTCCCATTGCTCGGTCCCAGCTCCTGCCAACCTAGCAGTTTGAAAGCACATCAAAGTGCAAGTAGATAAATAGGTACCACTCCGGCGGGAAGGTAAACGGTGTTTCCGTGCACTGCTCTGGTTCTCCAGAAGCAGCTTAGTCATGCTAGTCGCATGACCCGGAAGCTGTACGCCGGCTCCCTCGGCCAATAAAGTGAGATGAGCGCCACAACCCCAGAGTCTGCCACGACTGGACCTAATGGTCAGGGGTCCCTTTACCTTTACCCAGTGTCCTTAGAAAGAGCTGCAGACTTGCTTTTGTTTATACTGTAGCAGGGTTGGGGAGCTTACGGTCCTCTGCGTGTTGCTGAACTCCAATTCCCATCAGCCCCAGCCGGCATGGCCAATGGTGAAGGATGATGGAAGCTGCAGTCCAGCAATATCTAGAGGGCTGCATCCCTGGTATACAGCTATCTGCGCATTTACCTGGGGAAATTTCCTAATAAATAGAGGGGCTTACTTTCCAACACAGTCAGAGACTGGTTTGTTGGCAAATTTCTCAAGAGCATGAAATTATCTCTTCCACCTCCCCCAGAGAGTGAGGAGGAATCACTGGAACAAACTGGATTTGATCCAATTGCAGACTACAGGAGAGTAGTCTGCAATTGGAACACTTGATATTCTTATCATGTGGCAGAACTAGAAATACTACTGCTACTACTACTACTATTTATGCTAATGCTGATGATAGTAATAGTAGCCATCCCAAGGACAATTTTTATTTTTCATGTGAAGGCAGTCTCCCGACACTGCAAACCTATATACCTTTACCTAGGAGTAAGACTCACTGAGTGGAGCTCACTTCTCAGTGGACATGCATAGAGTTGTTCATGCACTTCTAAAATAAGCTCTGTGGAAAGTTTGTGTGTGTGTGTGTGTGTGTGTGTGTGTACAGTGGTACCTCTGGTTACGTACTTAATTCGTTCCGGAGGTCCGTTCTTAACCTGAAACTGTTCTTAACCTGAAGCACCACTTTAGCTAATGGGGCCTCCCACTGCTGCCGCGCCGCCGCGCGATTTCTGTTCTCATCCTGAAGCAAAGTTCTTAACCCGAGGTACTATTTCTGGGTTAGCGGAGTCTGTAACCTGAAGCATCTGTAACCCGAGGTACCACTGTATATTATTTGCCAAGTGTGGGCGTCATAGGAGCCAACTCCTAGGGGCCAAGGTCCCTTCACACACACACCCAGTAAAATATTTGATTGGGCCGGGGTTGCCTCCCTCCCCCCCAGTTGAAAGCCATGGCCATTTGAATGGTGTGCATGTGTAGCATCTTGTGATCGATTCTGCAGGGTGGGGCTTACCTGGGCCTCCCCAATATTTAATTCAAATTGGCACCCCTGCACTGGGTAAGGGGGCCTCAAGCGTTTCAGTTTTCATGGGGCCAGTTAACCTCCCAGTTCCAAAGTCTCCCACTTTTGAAAGCGAAAGAGATACAGGCAACTGAAGACGTGATCAAAACGGAGACACTAGAGCCGAACAGGCCCTGAGAGAAAACCATACTGAGCAATGCCCTGTAGGGCTACAGAGAATAAACTGACCAGTCGCGGGGCAAAGTAGCAAACGCCTTTTGGGTATTATTTTTTCCAGGCAGGGTCAAACTCCTTTGGGCTCCGCAATCCTCCGCTTTTGAGTGAGGACCGATGAACGCTTCTGTACATTAATGCCTGCGCCCACCTCGATTCCCCTCCCCTCGTTTCTCACCACTCTCCTGTTCTCTGGGGGGGGGGGAGCAGGCCAGCGGATAATTGCAACCCCCTCCCTTCAATCCTCAGAGCTGCGCTAATCCGAAAACTCAAGTGCCCGTAAGTAAAACTTCAGGGGGGGAAGTGATTGAAACTGACAAATACAGGGTGACAAATAATCAATAAAAGCCCAGTTCGACATCCTTCATTGTTTTCAGGCACTAACGGCAAGTAATGAAACCTCTGCTGGAAGGGAGAAGGAGAAGGCGGCGGGCAGGCAGGGGGGCGCCCCCCACTTGGAGACCTTCTGCGGGGGAGCCCCCGGCTCCAGAAGCCGGATTAATGGCCTCACCTCATAGGCAGATCTGGTCTTCTCATCAACCTTAATTAAAATCATTTTTAAAACGTCGGGGCTCTGCCTTCAGCGTGGGGGGAAACGGAGAGAGGTTGGCTGCGGGCTTCCTTTGGGTAACGAATCGCTTTTTAATTGGGGTGGGTCTCTCCCCTCCCTCCAATTTCTTGTTGACTAACAAGCAGGTGATTCGTAACATCCTAATGCCGGTCACCTTGTAGCAGAGCGCGGAAGTGCGGAAATACGTTTTTAAACAAAAAGCCATCGGGTCAGTTGTGCGCAAAAGAAAAGGAGCAGCGAAAAAGTCCCCGCGCCGTTGTGTTTAGGGTTAGGAGTCGAGTCTCAGCTTGGTTGACTTTGCTTATTTGTTTCGTACGAGCCCCCGGCTTTTCAACCAAGATGGGCTTACAGTGAAAATCTGCGCAGAGGTATAATATCATTGGGGACACGTGTTGGAGGGAGGAGAGAGGTGGGAGAGGCTCTCCCTTCCGGCCCCGGGGAGTTGGCGCTGCAAAACAGACTCCGGGCACTTCTCTCCCAAGCTGGAGGGGGCCGAGGAAGCCGCAGCTGAGCTCAGGGACTGGCTGATGGGTAAGGATGCCAGGCCACAGAAGCAACCCTAAAAGTCATGCTCGGAGAAGACCTCCCTGAAATGAATGGGTTTAAGATAGTCATGGGTGTAGTCTGAGCAGAATTAACAATAGACACACACACACGCTCCCTATGTCCATTACTTGGAGGTAAGTTTCACTGAAATAATTGAATTGCTTTTAAAAGTACAGTGGTACCTCGGGTTACATACGCTTCAGGTTACAGACTCCGCTGACCCAGAAATAGTACCTCGGGAACTTTGCTTCAGGATGAGAACAGAAATCGTGCGGCAGCGGGAGGCCCCATTAGCTAAGATGGTGCTTCAGGTTAAGAACAGTTTCAGGTTAAGAACGGACCTCCGGAACGAATTAATTTCATAATCAGAGGTACCACTGTATAGGATTTAGGATCCAAGTGTCACCGATTCTCTGTCCCGAAGGGTGCGATCCCTCCTAAAGCGCCTTACTAAGGAATTAAGAAGCATATTTCGCAATTCCGCGACGTGAGTGGAACACGGGATGAAACGTAAAACGTGCAAGTGCACAAACAATTCGTATGCGAACACACGTGTCGTATAACATCGCTAATTCCACACGCCGTGTATATCCAGAAGGATAGGAAAGGCAGTTTTGCACGTCCTTTACGCCCTTTCCTAAATGCTATTGCATTAGAAGCAGATCTTATTGAGTCAACAAAACTTCTTTGGAAATAATAAGCGCGTGTATATGGATGCTTCAGGCTGCAACCTTGTGCCCTTAACCCGGGAATAAGCGACACAGAATGTAGCGGGACTTACTTCCAAATCAACGCGTTTGTCTGTGTATTTCGTTTGCGCTCTCTCCCTCCCTTCCTCTCTCACACACATGCGAATAGGGCGTTAGACAAAAATGACACCACAATCCTATACCGAATCTTCCCTATTTTACTCGGGAACAAACCCCACGAGACTGGAACCCAACCAGCTCAGCAAACGTAGGCCGGGCACGTTAGCACCTTAAAGCCGAGGTCTTAAAAACACCTGAAGGAGCTATGGCTTGCAATAAGTTGTAATGTTCAGGATTCTGCTGCAAAAGCGGCTGGCCATCTAAGCTTTTCGCTTTGCCGGGGCAATTCCTTGTTTAACACCAACTCGGAATGTCCTGCAGTCCTGAAACAACTCGCTTCGACTTTGCTTGGCCCTAGTCAGTGGATTGTGAGTCCCCATCCCCAAGGACTTAGAGGGCTTCGCTTGCTTTTCGTAACTCGCTCCCAACACCCTTTTTAAAAGTGCGTGCAGGTGTGTGCCCCATTTTCTTAATCATATTTGTCAACCCATGTCCCATTATCTAGCTGAAATCTTGCTCGGTCCATCTTGCCCGCGGTCTCGCCAGGAAGGCCTTGAGAAACAAGATACAGTACAGTACTGTAGAACAAGAAGGAAAGAGCCATTGCGAGTGTCCCTCTGTCTGCCCATCCTATGGAAAGGGTCAGGCAGAAGCACACCTACGCACAGGGATGCCCTCAGGTTCCCTTCAGCGAATGTATAACCGGATATAAGTCATTAAACTGAGCTCCACACGTGTACAGCGATTCACACGTAACGTTCAAGAGTGCACAGTCTGTGTACCTGTGGACAAAAGAGCGGAACTGTACAGATCAACAAATGAACGTTCTTTCACACAAACACTTGTCTACAGACCACTTGCATCCATAGGCGCCGACTCCATGGGGCTTGAGGGGGCTGGAGCCCCCTCAAAAAAATTTTTGGGGGGGCTCAGCCCCCCCAATAATCTCGGGCGGGCGCCCTTCCAGCAGAGCGCCGCCGCCGTCCCCCGCCTCCTCCCCACCTGCTCCTTCGCCAGCCAGCCAGCCGCGCGCCCTAATCGGAGAGCCCCGGCCGGAAATCCCGCGAGAACAGGGGAATCCCGACTGGCCACACCTCCCAGCCAGCCAATCGGCTGGCTGGGGGGGCGTGGCTTGCCCTATTTAGGGCCGGAGCCACTTTATTTGCATATTCATGAGCTTATTTATTATTCATGAGCTTTCCCGGGCCCCCCCAATATTTTTTCTAAGTCCGCGTCCCTGCTTGCATCTGTGTTCAGTGTGATGCGGGAACAGGCCTCATACAAACCTTAGAAACATATCAGGCTTGGAAAAGGCAAGTTCCAGAAAAGCTTCCTTCCTACTCAGATGCGCTGCTCTTCGGAATGTTACTGGAAACCAATTGCTGGGATGCGATTAGATCAGGCATAGGCAAACTCGGCCCTCCAGGTGTTTGTGGACTACAATTCCCATCACCCCTGACCACTGTTCCTGTTAGCTAGGGATGATGGGAGTTGTAGTCCCATAACATCTGGAGGGCCGAGTTAGCCTATGCCTGGATTAGATGCTAGGAGATGAGATTTATTTCCGCATCAGCCTTATCGAACGAGGCAGCCAGCGCCAGCCTGCTCCCAAAATATGGCCAATGCCACCTTGTAGGCAACTGAGGCCTGAGCAACCATCTTCAGCCCTCGGGGACGCGTATTATGGGTGGTGCCCGGGTCCACCCAAGCCGCAGAGAATATTCCCCATTCACACCTATGGGGTCCCGATTGCTCCTACTGCCTCCCCACCCACACCCCCTGGGCAGCGCTTAGTCGAGACGGTTATTGTCTTTCCGGGCGCCTGCTCGCCTTGACCTCTTGCTTCAAGGCGGTTGTCTGGCCAGGTCAGGCGGGAAGCAGACGCTGCCTGGACCCGTTCGGCGACCGGCTCGGGAGTGTCTCTCCGCATTAAAATCTGATCGATCAGGTTCCAGGGCCTACAGGAAGTGGAGTCGCTTCTCTGGGAGGCTTCCTTGTCCAAACGGGAGCTTCTGGGGCTGCGCCGATGAAGCGCACTGTCACATAATCGATAAGGAGAGCTCAGCTGTCACGGATCCGAAAGGGGCTTCCGACGCCAGCAGTAACGTGATTTGGCACCTTCAGGTTTGGGGATGGGCAGCCTGGGCTACTAAGACGATGCGAGGGAAGAGACGGGCGGGGGCCAGAGGAGTGGGTGGGTGGGTGGCGGCAGCAACCCAGGAGTCTGAAGGGCTCCGGTTTGGCATTTTTGTTCAGATTCCTCTCCCTCGGGCGAACATTTTCAGCTCCACGATTTGGGGAAGGGGGGGGGAGAGCGAGCTGATCCCTTACCGCCAAGTTTGCTGTTGTCATCCTGCCCCACTGTTCTCCAGGCCATCTCCAATACGTCTCGATTCAATTCCATGCCGAAGGCTGAAGAGCTCCTTGCATCTCCAAATGGTTTGGCAACCTGGACAGAAAGTTCAACGGGGAGTATTGTGAGACCACCACTTAAAACAAAAACTGAACGTCCCCCTCCCCCTCCTCTCGCAATGGCAAATGCATGTTTTCGGAAGTGGATTCTGATGGAACTTACTTCCAAGTAAGGCTGTGATTCTAACACTGTTACAAGAACGAAGTCAAAGAAGATTGCTAAGGATCGAAGGAGCAGTCCGTGGGCCACACCTGGATCCAGTGATCCAATAAACGGAGCTTCCAGGAGCTTCCAGTGTGTGAAAAGGACCTCATCGGGGCGTGTTAAAATAAGATCGCAATTCCCCACCCTTGCGCATCACTCCAGGGGGGGATATGTAACCACCATTTGCAAAAGAGCAGCGATTCTATGGCTTAGTTTTTATTAACAACGCTAGAGCTACAGTAGTGGGGAAGTCTGCACCTGTTGGATTTATCCCTGTCACGCAGCAGTTAAAGCTATAAAAACCCTGAGAAGTAGTGGAGAAATTCTTTATAAAGAATTCGGAGGTGTAGTTCGCGTTGGTTTTAGCCCTGCGCCCGGTCCCAAGATTTAGGGGAGAAGCTGACCGCTTGACCTACAATAGAATTAAACCGAAGCGTTAGATAGAAATCAGTGGGCCTTCAAGAGAGTAAATGTGCAGCGCCCAATCAACATACTTCGGAATAAATTCCGCCGACTTTAAACTTCCAGAATAAATATTGTTGGAGAGATGCGAAAATATTTGGATTTCAGCTAATGACTCTTGGATGATTTGTCAACGTCACCTGCAGTGACTTTTTTCCTGAACTTTATTTTGAATAAGAAACCGGCAATAGCGTGTTCGTGTATAGGGCTTAGCAAGGGAATGTTTCAGCTTCGGTGTAAGGTTGCTGCCTTTGAAATCGTGATCCGGTTAGCTTGTGGAAAGGGATCTTAGTTAATTCATAGTTAATGCGCAGCGTTCAGCGGGCACCTGGCTGTTGTTGTTCTCTGAATATTTAAAAGCACCCGTGTTCGATGATAAATTTATGAAAAACGAAGTGAACCAGGGGCTAGGAAAAGAAGGCTGCCAGGAAAGCCGATTTCTGATTGGTCGGGGAAAGGACTTCCGGGACTGGATTGGCTAATGAAGATGCCGGGAGTTACAGCTATTGGATAATCTCCTTGCCTGGGTCTTCTGCAGCGCTCTCCATAGAGCAGAAGGCGCTCTCCATAGAGCAGAAGGCGACGTTCTCATGAAGGAGGGTGGATTGTTCACGGGAGGGTATTTCCCCAATGAGTATTTTCCCGACAAAGTGTCAAATGCTCCTATATAGCACTAAAAATGTTTAAATGCCGGGGCTTAAAATATCTGATTGAGGGGTCCAACTATTATGCACTTGCCTAAGGCTGGCTTCTTAAAGACGTCCGCCCTGAGCTCCATTAGAACCTTGGATCAGTGATTCCTTCTGCGGGAGACTCGCCAAAGGCCGAGCCCGAGAGGTTTCACACATCCATGCGCAGGAGCTCTGCCCCAGCGTCGCATCACTGACTGACTGACTCAATAGAAAAAAATACAACCATTGCGTTTTGAAGTTATTTGTGGTGTTTGATCTATGACGGTCCTTTCACTCGTGCTGGCCATCACTTGATGTTGCAGACAAGGCGTCGACTTATCCTGAGTTGCCACCGGTGGCACAATCTTTGTCTCCCGCTTCACATGGAGGGGAAGGGACCGAATGTCTCTTATATTGTCCATCAGTTTAGCGTTTCCCTGCTGTGTTTTCTGGAAGGATGGGCTGAGGAGGCTGAAGCTCCAAATAAATATGAAATGCCCTCATATTAATATTTTTTTAAATGGATCCAAGCACGTTGCGCCTGAAGAGAAATCTTGCAAAGGATACATGGCTGCACTTCCCTTTTTAACTTCAAATTAGGAAACTCTGTCAGATGAAAGGGCAGCTTCCCTTTGGTGGAACTGCAGCTTCATTTGATCATATCTTTATTTGAGTGTTGCCTGAACAATAGGAACCTGAAGGGAAAGAATGAAGAAATTGCGTTGCAGTTGATCCTTTGATTCTGACAGAGGGAAACTGTTGCGCGTTTATCAGATTAGAACTGTCCAGAAATGAGTGTGTGAGCGCGCGCGCATGCGTGCATTATACATATATATATATATACTGTATAATATATAGGAAAACTAATCAGGCGACTGGGGGTTGTGTGCACGCACGTCCACGGGCGCGCGGAAGAGTGCTCTTAAGTACCACAGCTCCTTCAATCCCCATCTGGATAAGATTCAAGTCTCTCCCTCGGCTTACAGTAATATACTCTGCCAACCATGAGGCTCTTCCCCCCTCCCCCCCCACAAAAAAGAAAAAGAGGGATTTAATGAGGCCGAGCTTAGACCCTTCTATAATTTAGAGGATTCGCCAGAGCTGTAAAATGACAATGGGGACATGTGTAGTGCAAGAGAGGTGAAATCCCATCCAGGGACAAAGTTGCTTATTTCTGAAGGAGCTGTCATTTCCAGCAGGGGGGACACAATGGCAGGGCCAGGAGGGACGGAGCTCTGATCTCCACCTCGGAGAGAGATAACCACCTGATTAAAATGGGCCTCTTGTTCTCTCGGTTACTCGATCGTCGTGTGAACTTGCCTTACTTACTATTCTGGGCAAAGACGACTCAGTCTCCCCAGATTTCAATGCCCTGAGAACTCCCCTCCCTCCTCTTTCTCTCTCTCTCGCCGCTTCGCTTCGCTTTTCCTTGGAGCATCATCACGGCCAGTTCTTAGGCAGCCGACACTTAGGTCTAGGAGGATTCACGGGTCACGAAAAACGCCGGGGGCTTTAGGAGCACATAAAAGTTTCGCACAGCTATGGCGCATCTATTATCACACACACACACCAAAATGGCACAGGAAAGATCCGCCCCTTTGCTATAGTTTTTACCCTTTGACGGCTTGGGCCATACATAAGGCTGGCTGTTCACAGGTTACTTAAATCTGTGCACTTGTATGTGAGAGATATGTACATTTGGATTTTGAGCGTATTTATCGAGTTTGGTGGGGATTTACTCCCTAATAAGTGTGTTCAGAGTTGCAGCCTTGCACTGGGACACCCCATACAAAAACTTCACCAGACATTTCAAGGGCACCCTGGATAACTGACGGGAGGATTGCTCCTGAGTTGCTCCGAGATTCTTGGCTTATTTCACCTATAGAAGGATGGTCATCTGTCATGTATGATCTAGGGGGTTGGACTAGATGGCCCTTGGGGTCCCTTCCAAGTCCACAATTCTATGATTCTAGTTATTTCAGATATCTGGGTTCCTAACCACGCTTACTTGGAAGTAGGCTTCATTGGATTTAATGGTTGCAACTCCCAAGTAAACACGTTTATAGCCAACGCCTCTGCCTAATTATTCCTATCAGTCCTATGCGTATTTACGCAGAAGAACAACCCCATTGAGTCTGAAGTAAAGGCGCGCTGGATTGTGGCCTTCTTAACTAGGAAGAAAGTACTACAAGTTGCCTATTGACATATTTAGGATCGGATTTTTCCTTGAAAAGAAGTGGGACTGACTTCAGCAGCAGTACCGTTTGTAGAACTGCGTCCATACAGGCCAATTCTAAACACGTTTCTGCAACAGTATATCCCGTTGACTATGACTCAGTTATAATTTAGGTGCTTCTGTTGAATAAGATTGGAGGTCTATCTACAAACTTGCTATTCAAGTGTTAAGCGCTGTCCACTGCTTTGTAGATAAGTATTTTATCTGCAATCTGCTGATCAAAGCAGATTCTACACCCCCCGTACTTTTAATAGATTCGGATCCCACTCCAGTTCAGACAATTAATTCAGGAAAAGACATTGAAATATGCACCCTGATCTCCTCTGCCTCGCCTCTATTTATAGGATTCTGGTGCCCGCTTGTTTCTCATTCCCGTCGCCCTAAAGGGCTAAATTTTCTGTAAAGATGGGAAATAATAATAATTCATTATTTCTACCCCGTCCATCTGGCTGGGTTTCCCCACAATTTCCCCACCGACGGCTGTCCTAGCCAAATCAGCAAGAAATCCCTATAGATCCCAAATGGTTATTTGGTTTCGGATCTCAGGTCTTCCCTTTGCAAGGAAGCCAGCCAGACTCGCCCAGTACGGGGCAAGAGAACTGGTTGGCCCGGGCGGGGCGGGAGGAAAGAACACCCCGCCCGTATCAACAAGTTCCCAAAAGAATAAAATATTATTTCCCTTTGGTGACATTTCCCCGTCCCTCTCCCAGCTCCCCCCCCCCGTCTCTTTTCCTCTCGAAGAGCTTATCTGACCGAATTCTTTGACAACCAGATCCTAAACACAACGCTTCCTGTGGAAGGAACCACCTTGATTTCAATAAATTCAGCTAAAGGCGTTTAGGATCACCGTTTTAGCCGCCGATCTTTCTCTTCCCCTCTCCACAACAGGTGTCTCTGAAAGCCGCAACTAGCATTTTCGCCCCTTCTTCCTTTGGAGGCTCTTATTTAAACAGGCCAGGGGCAAATAGACGGCAATATTTCAGACCGTTTCTTTTGAAAAAAATATATAGTTTTGCGCATTAAAGTTAAAAAGTAGAGGGAATGGAAAAACTTAATCTACTTTGTCAGCCCTGATGGTGAAGCTGAAGGATTTATCTGGTCGGTCTTCTTTCTCCATCTACCCCCAAATCAGTGAGCACATTTCCTTGAGAAACCAGCCTGTTGGTTCTCAGTGGGGTTTTCTTGCAAGTAAAAGGTTTGTAAGATTTGGGCATAAATCGTCTTAAATTCTAATATTGCATGTGTGGTTCGTTGGACTGACCTGTGTTTGAGCAGGAGAGGAAAATACTTTTGACAAAAGCAGGAGTGTTGTATAAGCGGTGTATATCTATATATTTAAAAATATCAAATTAATCTAGGGAATACCCAAATATTTATGGCAGAATCTAGGTAGAAAGATCTTCTGCATTTTGCGCAACTCGCGTTTATTTCAGTGGGCCTATATTGGGCAGGAGAATTTCCAG